TAATGTGACTGCTTTTGGACACAGGGGCTTTAGGGACATGATTAAGGTTAAATGAGATCAGAAGGCTGGGCCTTAATGCTACAGATATGTTGTCTTCACAAGAAGAGGAAGGGTCACCACATCTATCTCTCCACACGGTCATAGTGAAAAGGCAGTGGGGAACATCGCAGGAGGATGGCCTCAGTACAGGAAGAGAGGTCCCATTAGAATCCAACCCTGTTGACACATTGATCTTAGGTGTCCAGCCTCCAGAAATTTGTTTCAAGTCACCCAGTCTGCGGTATTTGTGTGATAACCCAAACAGACTAACACATGGATTGTTGAGTGCTTCTGTTTATTTTGTCAGTCATTTCAAATATCACGTTTTTCTTGGAATTTGATTATCTATTCACATATATTGGTATAAAGTTTTCAGAATGTTTGATTTTTATGTTTCTATCTGTAATTATACTTTCTTTATAATTTCTATTAGAACTTAATTATGTCTCTTCTTATTCTATATATTCATAGCAGGGAAAATATGGCCCCAAGGAGGTGAAATCTTGTCTTACTTTTTTGAAGTATGAAGGACAGTGTACAGAAAGAGATAAATAGTTTATCAATGGTACTAAAATTTCATGAGGGGGCTATAAGGAAAAAGATATTTAAGAAAACTCCTGTATAACACAGGAACTTGGCTCAATAGTCAGTAATAACCTAAATGAGAAAAGAACTTGAAAAAGAATAGATTATAACTGAATCACTTTGCTATACATCTGAAACTTAAACAACATTGTTAATCAACTATACTTCAATATAAAATAATTTTTTTAAAAAAAGGTTGGGAAACACTGCCATGTTCTATGATCAGTTTCATTACTGTAGTATCTATAATTGTAAACTTCTCAAATAAATTTAGGTTTCATTCCTACTCCCTACTGAATTTTAGTTTTTCATTTTATTTATTTGTTCTTTCAAATCTTATTCCTTTCACTTTTTTTGAGTATTTTGCAATTATTTTTCTAATACATTTCATTCAATTATTGTCTTATTGATTTTCATATTTCACCTTTTCTGTTTGGGCCTCAAATATTTCTTTAAATTTTTCTTTCACTGTATCTCATAGGTTTTAATAAGTAATAATTACTATCATTTGATTTTAAGAACATTTTAATTTTAGTTTTGATCTGTCCTTTGATTCATAATTATTTACATGTATGATTTAAAATTTTTGATTGTATGCGTTTTTTCAAACTTTCTTTTTATCATCAATATCCAAACCAATTGCGTTGTAATCAGAGGATATGGTCTTTTGATTATTTCTTTTACTTTTAATTTTTTTGGCCATTCCATGTGGCATGTGGGATCTTCATTCTCTGACCAGGGATGGAACCTGCATCCCATGCCTTAGAAACACAGAGTCTTAACCACTGGACCACCAGGGAAGTCCCCATTTCTTTTACTTTTATTTGGGCTTATTTTGATACATGACTGAATAGAAGATTCCTTATTATTAAATTATATATATTATTACATTATAAATCCCATTATTCTAAGTTTATTGTGTTGTTCAAACCTTCTACACTTTAAGTAATATTTTGTCTTTTTAACAGACAGTTGTTCCAGTTTCTCAGTATAAAATGGATTTGACAATTTCTCTTTATCAGTTATAATATTTCTTTTGTAAGTGCATGCCAGTTAAACAATAATGTAGCTTTCTAAGAAATAAAATGTTAACCATCAAGAACTTGCCCTCTTTAACCCTCATACTGGTTTTCATTGCTGTTCTTGAAGACTCCGGCCTTCTTTTGGTTTGCCCAGCATCGTGGCATATTCTTTTATAATCAACTTTTTAATATTCTTATATATTAAATGTTTTTCCTTTAAAAAGTACTTAGAATTAAAAAACAACTTGATTTGGCTCTTCTTTAACTATTAAGTCAAGTTCATTTATTAGTGGGGTCCATGAAAATGTACTCCTCAATACTGCTGACTTGCGGAGCTCAGTTTCAGAAAGCTGCCAAGATCATTACTCCATGAGCCCATGATCTAAGGACTGGGAAAAGGTTGGGTTATCTGGGATTGAAATCAGTTTCTTTCAACAGGAAGACAATGGGTGGTACTGAAGGATGTCAATGTGGCTCAGAGGGCTGTCTTGCTGAGCTCAGACTGAAAGACACAAGGAAAACAAGAAGAACCCCTTCTCAGGACACATACAATAGGGCAACAGGAGTAAATAGTATCAGGGAACAGAAGGCCAAAATGAACTGAGGCTATTGAGGGGCATGGAGTTCTGCAAAGTTCCTCTAACACTGGATGGGAGCAAAACAACAAGGGCTGCATAGATCCACTCACTGCCAGAACCGCTGGTGTCTTCGGAAGGAGAAAGAGGAGGGAGCAGCTCTGCTTTGCCCGATGATTGTCTGGACAGGGAACCACCCTCCAGTTGCAAAGGGCATTGGCAGGTCCACGTAGGAAGTGGGGACAGAGGCGGGACTGAGTGACTGTGCATGTGGTCCCTGACCCAGAACTTACAGTCCAGGGCCAGGAGTGAGCCAGAGATAACCTCACACATCCACAGGGGTCATCTGAGAGGAGTTGGGGATCATAACATGGTGCATGTAGCCTGTGCCTCATCCTGGTAGGAGGACATTGGACAGGATGTTTAGTATTGCAGAACCTGGATCCTCCTCATCCGTGAAAGATAGTGATGGCCCTCCAGGTATATGAAAGATGGAAGGAGGTAACATATGCAAAACATGTCACAGACTCCTTTAGCCCAGATAGTGAGCAGGTGGGCAGATAGCTATGATGCCTTTTACAGGTGGGGCAGGAGGCAGGGCAAGAGTAAGCAGCTGAGTTGAACCCAAATGATGTCCCTGTGAGGAAGGAGCAGTGCTGTCCACTCCTTGAGGTCCTCCTGGGCTCAGGACACATATTTCTTAATGATAAAACTCAGAACACTCAGTGGAGTGTGGTCTGGCAAACCTCTCACAAACTGAGGAGACTCTTGAAGATGGACCTGTGAGCTTCAAGAACTTGCTGGTGGAGCCATTCAGGGAAGGACAGGGATGACTGTCTCCCTATCAGGGTTTATGGTTCTCTCTTCTCCTGATGTCATTAGATGTGGAGCTGGGCAGAAATGCACAGGAGCAGGGCACCAGAACTACCATACACAACCACAGATGCAGTTCCATCTGCAGCAAGATATTCAATAGCCAAAACTAGTAAAAGAATTAGGAAGTTCTGAGCTTGGGGGTATTTATTGCCTTTTAAAAATATATAATTTATTAATAGCTTACTTAATACAGCTTTCTATAATGGCTGTGTTAAAATAGCTGGCTCACAAAATTCTTGAAAATCCTACAAGGCCCTATGAGCTAGCTCCAGACCACTGCTGGCCACATGACACAAAAACCTCTTTGCTCAAAGAGAATTGATGGGAGAGAGGGAAATCTGGGGGGACAGCGTTGCATGAATGTGTCCCCTTAGCCTCTCTTTGTGGTCATCTGTACTCAGTGCTACAGTGACAGGTACTGTCTATTGGTTCCCCTTCTACTTGGATTTCCTGCACTGTACAGGTAGGTGTAGAAGACTCTTGTGAGTCCCTTGGACTGCAAAAAGATCAAACCAGTCAATCTGAAAGGAAATCAACCCTGAATATTCATTGGAAGGACTGATGCTGAAGCTGAGACTCCAATACTTTGGCCACCTGATGCAAAGAGCCTACTCATCGGAAAAGACCCTGATGCTGGGAAAGACTGAAGGCAAAAGGAGAAGAGCATGGCAGAAGATGAGATGGTTAGATAGCATCACTGACTCAATGAACATGAATATGAACAAACTCCAGGATATAGTGGAAGACAGAAGAGCCTGGGATGCTATAGTCCATGGGGTTACAAAGAGTTGGACAAGACTTAGTGACCAAACAACAGCAACAATAGTCATGGTATTTTTCAGCTCTAGTCTCCAGTTTGGCTGTTAGATAGTTTTGTTTCTTTGTTGAACTTCTCGATTTGTTGATGCATCTTCCCCCTTAATTTCATGTATCTGTCTGTCCATGTTTCTTGCATTTCACTAAACTGCTTTAAGAGGACTGAATTCTTTATAAGAGAGTTCATAGATCTCTATTTCTTGAGAGAGTTTTAGTCACTTCTTTTCATCATCTCATGTTTACTTGATTCTTAATGGTTTCTTATTTGTTGCACTGGTATTCACAAGTGAGTTTTCACAAGTGTGAGTCTTCACAAGTGACAGGACCCTGTGATGAGCATGTTGCAGCAGTTACTGTCGATCTTGTGGCTCCTTTTAGAGGAGACACCACTATCCACATCTTTTCGGTGAGGAAATTGAAGCACAGTGAGATTAAGTAACTTGCCCAGGAGATTAAATAACAGCAACTGAGTAATGGACACAGGTTGTATTCACACATCAAAGATACTTTAGGCTTTCTTGAAAGAGCATATTTCAGCCTACACCCCATGTATCTCAACCCTTGGTGACAGATGGAGACCAGTCTGTAGGGAATGGGACTCATCATGTCTACATCCACAGAACACCAGGTGCTTTGTCCTGGTAGGAGAGTACAGCTGTCTCATAGAGAGGAGCAGTGCTCACCAGGTAAGAAACTCTCTTGCCGATCAGCAACAAATTCCAACTCCTATTGTCTGTAATCCAAAACACAATATATATGTTTAATTTGGTACAAAAAGGGTTCTTAACAGTTTGTGTTTTTGGTGCTTTAGACATTGGGCTATGGGGGTGGGAGTGGCAAAGGACTTCTGCAGAGCTTCTGGGCAGTGGGAGGGCTCAGCGGCAGCAATCTGGAGAATGACTGAGTGCATATGGGTTGGTGATGTTGCCAGTGAGAGCTACAGCTATTTAGGGGGAAACACTCCTGCTTGGGTCGAGGGCAGATATTTGGGCCACAGAGCATTGGTGCACAGTGAGGATTCATTAAGGCGAAGTTGGAGCATCTTCCCTGTGTGAAGAAGAGGAGAGAGAGAGGGGGTCACTGAGAAGCCTTGGAATTGGAGCAGAAGGCTGTGATCCCCTTGGCTCAAGGGGATCAGACTCAGTACCTGTCAGGATCCCCATTTTTACTGATGATATTCCTCTTCCTGGGTGCTGGCCTCAAGTCTGGATGCCTATTTCTAGACTCTGTTCAGGCCCTGGACATATGCCCTCTCTTCCCCAGTGAGCCCTGTTCTGACTCTGGACTCCCTTTGCTGTAGTGTTGAACTTGTCTGGTCACCTTTGCACTGGGATTTCTGCTGATTGCCACAGCAGCCCGAGCACTGCCCAGGCTCTCTTGGTGAGTGTGTGTTGAAAGGACGAGTCCTCATCTCAACTCTCAACCTGGGTTCTGGACCCACAGGGCAAGGGCAGGCGATGGTGCCATTAGATGGGGGAGGGGCTGTTGAGGCAGCACCACTTACAGAACTTTCATTCTGGGCACCCTTTGGGGCAGCATAATCTGTCTGCGTTACCAGCTGTTCCTGGCTTTTCTGTCTTCTCCCACTAGTCCCCAGCTGAGAGTCCTGGATGGGACAAGGAGGGTGGCCTGAGCATACTGATTAGCTGACAGCATCTCTGGGCAACTGTGGATTGGATTTGCCAAAGGGACTCTAGGACCTCTGGACTCTGGGCTGTTTGGACTCATTTGGACATTCCCTTATCCTCAACAAAAAAGTAACCTAGCATTCTTGATAACTGTATTATAAGTTCAGTGGTATTTTATTATTTTATCCCTGATTTTGAGATTAAAATGTTAGGATTGGAATGTTCAAGAAACTAGGTCAAGATCATATACTTGGTAACAGGTTGAAGCCAGTACATTCCTATAATCACTCCTGAAGATGGCAAAGGGATCTGTCCACATTCTTGCACAGCACCCCTCAATACAGATTTCTGTGCCTTATATCATCAGATCCAAAATGCTTCCTTGTTTCAGAGAAATGACCAAAAGCATCTACACAGAAATATATGTGACTAGAAGTGTCCATTCATTCATTCACCACCAGAGGACTCAGTGTGTGTGGACCACATGCAGTCTGGATTTGGTGCTCCTGTGACACTCTGATCTGCTGGTGCTCATCTGTTCCCCACACACCATAGGGTAACACTGGTAACCTGGGAGTATCTTGACCATTGGATTGATGAGGACAGTACTCAATTTCCAGCCTTTCGATTTTCCAACTCTAACAGCCCTAGGGCAAAAGTACTGGATGTTTCCTCTGTTGGAATGGACCTTGGACTTTCACTTCACCAATTTCTTTTTATCAATTATTTCTTAGCTTGTGACATGTCACTGTGTCACAGATTCTGAACTGGCCAAGCAGGTGCTCATTGATATATTCATGACTTTCAAGTCTCCAGAGAGCTATCGAGAGATACGTGGAGAATGGAGCTTCTGTGAAAGCAGGGCTGGGACTGAGAGCTCTATTCAGATCCACAGCCAGGAGCCCAGCTGCACCCTGACACATCTGTCACTAGACAATGTCTCTGTTGGGCGTGAGCATGCCTCAAATGTGTCCTCAACAGTGTCCAGAGGCTTTCAGGTCTGTCAAGAGCTTCTAAACACCCACCTGACCAGCCACCAAGAGCCAGTGTTTGCCTGATTCAGTGAATATAGTCCGTGTAGCCCTAACTACAGACCTTGGAAACAGAACATTCTCCAGACCCCTGGCCCAGTACCAAAGGCCTGTGCTTGGGAACCCTGAAAAATACGATGCCCAGGCAGGTGCTTCCCAGGTGAATCAGGAGCAGTACCTCTTTGAATCTGGAGGCCTGAGGAGGGCAGCTCTCTGGTAGTTTGAGGGCAACCATCGTGAGACCATGAGTACTGAACTGAAAGAGGGGCAGAGTAGTGATAATGACCAGGCTCAGAATTCAAGTTCAGCTTTGTTCCTCCTAGCCTCTGTGACCTGGGTCAAGTCACTCAACCCCACTTTGGGTCAGTTCCCCCTTGATAAAGCTGGAATAATAGTAGTATCTACCTATACAGTTACTGGGACTATTAAAGCAGTGAAAACACTCTTGGTTTAGCAACTGACCCACAGATACAACAAAATTATACAACATTATTATTAATTTTGGAGGATGACAACTGGAATGATTTGGCTTCTCCCCATTGTCACAGACATTGACACAAGGAGGGCATCTTTACAACCTGGTAAATGCAGTCAGTGTTGGCCAGACAACATTGGGGAGGGGGTGTCACCATGCCCTCCACCACTCCTGGAACCTGAGAGACCAGCCCAGGAGGGTCTCACAGGTGGGCTGCAGCCAGCAGTCCCACAGGGGTGGGTAGGTAGTGGGGAGGGACAATGGATGGAAGGCCAATAGGCCTCTCAGCCCTTTTTTACTGAGGATTAGAAGTTCTGGGCATTGTTCTGGAGAACAACAGCCCTAATATCCTTGATGAGGATGCAGGGGAAATGCTTGGGTGCCATGTGAAGAATCATCTGGAGGCTCATGACCTCCAGGTATCTACATCTTGGGCGTTCCTCTCAGCAGATGCTGGGACAGGGTTCTCTGACTCACAGTCCCAGGGGACAATTTTCAAGGGCAAAACCAAGACCCCAGCCCACGAACAGCATCCCTGTGTCCTGCTTACCGTGTGTCTGGTTGGACACCATATCAATGGCACCAGGCTGCAGCGCTGAAGAAAGTTATAAAAAACATCCAGTTTTCCCTGAAAAGCAGATGTGGTTGTAAGGAAGCTAACAGATACAGACGCTGCCTCCAGATGAGCAGCATCGCCTTCATCTCCCACAAGTCCCCAGGGCTGTGTCCCCACACACTGGCTGAGGCAGCACTTCAGGCTTCAGCTGGGGCAGGGGGCTGGAAAACCTTTTGTGTTGGTTGGGAGACAGACTCTGTGGGTCACAGACTCTATTGGATTTTGGAACAAACCAGTGCTTTTGGTGTAGGAGGAGATGTTGGGGCTGCTTTTGAAAAAAGAAAAGAAAACAAACATCAAAGGTTGGAGGAGGTATGCAGTAGCCAAGGAGAGGTCCTCAAGGAGAAACACGGTGGGCACGGGGACCGGGCAGGAGATTGAAGGAGGGGGAAGAGGGTCTGCATCTGGGGGCACAAAGGGAGAAGGCAGGGAAGAGACCCACTCCCTGCTCAGGGGGAAGGGTCCCGATACTGGGGAGAAAGAGAAAGATGAAGAAAACAAAGAACAGGCAAGAAAATGGACCTGGTGGGGGTAGGATGTGGAGCTGGTCCTCTGAGTGGGAACAAATCCCTGGCAGACAGCTTCCTCCCTCTTGAAAGGTGAGCTCTGGATTTCCTGGGCCCCCACAGTGACTGTCAGGGGAGACATGGGGCTGGCCTTTCAGCTGCCATTTGAAGCTCCCAGGAGGAAGCAATGGATCCCACAGGGACAGAGGCAGGACTAGGAGGAGGAGGGCAAAACTGAACCCAGAGATCATGGTTCTTTCTTCCTCATACCTGCCACCTGGGGCCCTCCCTGTCATTTCTCAGCCTCCTGCCAGCGAGGATCTCAGTCACCCAGGGGAAGGAAGTGTCCTCAGTTTCCCTCCTCCTGGAGTTTCCTGTCACCCCATCTCAGGTGCTACAAGAACATGCAGTAAGCCCTTTGCCTTTCTCATTGAGCAGACAGGAGCTGTGGGTACTTCCCACAGCTATTTTAATGGATATTTTAATGGTGGTAGGATCTTGGCTCAAAAGTTTCTTTTCCTTTTGCTTTTTTTTCCTGACTTGTGTGTGGCTCTTTGTCATTGTTTCTTTTCACTCATCCAATCACTCTCTGGTGAAACTCAGGACATTGTCAGAGCTGATGACAATCTCTGTGAGGACTAGGAACTGGCCAGCTATGAGTCAGCCACCAACATCCAGAATCCTGGACCTGTTCAAGGGGAGACCCTGGTGCTGGGACAGCTGGAGGCAGTGGGCACCTGAGCATTCAACTCTTTGTCTCACCCTGAGCCGCTAGGGTGGGAAGAGCTTCTGGATTTGCTATGTCACCAAGTGGTGGGAGACGAGAGCCCATAAAGCTCATCTCCATCCAAGCCAGATACTTTAGACCCAAGTTCATGTGGATCCATCTGCCCCCCCTACCCCTCCAAACCTCTGGCCTTGAGGGGGATCATTCTTCCCTTCCTATGGGCCTTTCTCACCTCCATCTGGCTTATTGTGTCTTCTTGGCACTCACAGCAGGAGACAATCACTGTGGTCTGTACAGGGCATGGCTGTGAGAAAAAGAAAATAATTGTCAGCTTTCTCATCTGACAGCTCCTGGATGCAGACACATGACATCTGTTGCCCTGGCACCTGTCAAGTACTGGGGCGGCTGCTGCTATTGCTAAATCACTTCAGTCGTGTCCAACTCTGTGCGACCCCATAGACGGCAGCCCACCAGGCTCCCCCGTCCCTGGGATTTTCCAGGCAAGAGTACTGGAGTGGGTTGCCATTGCCTTCTCCAATCAAGTACTGGCCACTCAGCAAATGTTTGTTGGAGAATCAAGGAGAAATGAGCAGCATCTGGCACAGTAAGACAGTGGTCTCCATGTAAAAACACACCAAGCTCATTTATTTTATGAAGATAGCTCTTCTCCAAAGATCAACAAACTCTATCCTGTTCCCTTGTTCCCAGAGGCCGCCCTTATAGGAGAAGCTGGGTGTGAGGCTGTGCCATGTGATGGAGGCTGTCCAGGGTGTAGCATTAGCAGGTGACAGGGCTACATTCACCCACCTCTGGCAGATTCAGCCTCCCCAGGCCCCACACTGCAGCCAGTGTTGATGCCAGCCCTGGCCGAGACCCTGTTTGCCAGTAGATCTCAAACCCAGGTCCCCCTGACTTGGGACATGAGCCCCTTGCTCTAGCTGCTTCTTATGGGCCCTGGTTTGGGTCCCCACCCTGAGTCTGCCACGGCATTCTCTCCTGACCCTTTGTCCCTGTGCTCATCTGGACTTACACCTCAATGTCAGGTAAGATTCCCTTCCCTCTCCTAAGCCTCCAGTCCCCAAAGGCCAACCCCACCATGACCCTCACCCTGAAATGAGCCAAGGATAAAGAACAAGGAAACAAAGCCCAACATACATCAGAGCCCAGGGAAGGGGACCAAGTCCCTAAAACCTGAGGATCCTTTTCCAAAACTTACCTGAGTCCTAGAAAGGACCATCTTACAAACAGTCCTTTGGGAATTTCAAAAAGCCCATTGATATCAGGAGAGAATATAGCTGTTCCTGAAACAGGCTACCCCACATTGTTGAATTCAGTGCTAAAGGCCCTGGATCAAGCTGTGTTGGGGGTTGGGGAACAGTGTTGTCTGGGTGACATTTATGAGTCTCACATACTCTCTAGGGTCCTTCCCTTCCTTCTTTCACCCTCTTCTTTCTGCCATCTCTCTCTGCCCAGGTAGGTGGGAACTAGAGGATTGCAAGAGGACATCTCACCATAGGCAGCAGAAGCCTCTCTGCACAGAGCAGTGTGTGCAGTTGGCATGATGACATCTGAACCAAACACATTACTTACCTTTTCTGGTCTTTGGGCTGATGGTGGCTCCTTGATGACCTAAGATGTTAAAGAGACATAAATATGGTGGATGGGGCAGGAAGGACTATGGCTCAGCCATGCAGACAGGAAGGCACCCTCTTCTGCAGCAATAAGGGGTCAAAACATGGGTTTTGGGGTTATAGCTTATGTTGCCTGAGTGACTTGGCCAACAAGTTCCACCTTCCTGAGCCTCAGGCTCCTTCATTTTCTTTTTTTTTTTCCTAATATATGTCACATTTTATTTTTTTTTCATTTATTTTTATTAGTTGGAGGCTAATTACTTTACAGTATTGTAGTGGGTTTTGTCATACATTGACATAAATCAGCTATGGATTTACATGTATTCCCCATCCCGATCCCCCCTCCCACCTCCCTCTCTACCCAATCCCTCTGAGTCTTCCCAGTGCTCCAGGCCCGAGCGCTTGTCTCATGATACAAAAAACCTCGAATAGCCAAAGTAATCTTGAGAAAGAAGAATGGAACTGGAGGAATCAAACTGCCTGACTTCAGGCTCTACTACAAAGCCACAGTCATCAAGACACTATGGTACTGGCTCCTTCATTTTCAATGGGAATTCATCCCTACGTGTAGACTCAAGGGGGAGATAGGCAGTCTAAAACCCCTTGTCCCTGGTAGAGGCTCTAACGGGAAGTTTTCATCAGCAGCCCTGACATCATATGAAGACAAAAAAAAAACACTCCCCACATTTCTCCCTATCCGTCATCCCCCAGCCTAACAGCCCTCAGGAAGATGGTCCACTTTCATCTCACCAAGCTTTCTCTCCTCACTTCTCGCTCTTTGCAGAAACCTGATCTCCTGGTATTTACGCTGCTTTGCTTGTCCTTTCTCAGCTCTGCTTTTTCCTCTTCTTCACTCAGCTCTGCCCAGAGCCAGTCTCTATTCTTTTCATTACCAGGGCACCTGTCATATCCTCTGAAGGTGACATTTACCCTCAATGCCTGCCCCATGCCACCAGGTACTAACGTCAGAGGAGACACCAGACAGTGAGATCCTGTGGGCAAGTGTGGTGGGTGCTTCATTTCTGCCCCTCTATGCCCAGCATAGGGCCCTGCACATCCTGGTGACTTAGTGAAGACTAATCAAAGAGTGACAGAAAGCACCAGAGATGGGCAGGGATCCATTCTGTTTTCAAAGGCACAGCCACCCCTGCAGACTCCTCTCCTTCCCCCAACAGCAAAAACTACAGGGGCTTTGGTCCACCTGAGTCCTTCAGAATCTTGACTGCTGTAGGGTAGACTTGGTCTCAGAGGGTCCAGTGTCCCTTCTCCCCAGGGCTGGGACAGCCCATAGATCCCTTCCCTTTGAATGTGAGGGCATGAGGCAAGCAGCCTCCTAGATGCCCAGGCTGTGTCTATGCCCAGATATGGAAAGACAGAGTCTGTGCCTTGTTTGCTGGTGCAGGGCCTCAGAGCTGATGGGAACCTGCCAAAGAGCAGTATCATGGGGCAGGTAAGTGCCTGGTTTCTCAGGGGGTTGGGGAGGGCTGGACAGGGGCTGTTCAGATAGGGGTCACTTACCCTCTTGTAGCAGCAGATACAGATAAACACCAATGGGATCACAATCAGGGAGGTGATGAATGTAGCATACAAGAAAGGATTGCTGGGAATCGGTCTCTGGGTGACAACTGTAGTCACAGAGGTTGTTGTCTTTGTGAAAGTGGTAGGGATTGTCGTCATTGTGGTTGTTGTCGTCATTGTTGTTGTCGTCCTGCTTGTCCTGACAGTGGTGGGCATTGTGGTAATCCTTGTTGACCTTGTCATTGTTTTCCCTGTTGTTGTTGTTGTGGTTGTTGTTGTTGTCCTGCATGTCCTAACAGTGGTAGGCATTGTTGTCCTTGTCGTTGTTTTTCTTGTTGTTGTTGTCGTTGGTTTTGTCCTGACTGTGGTAGGTGTTGTGGTCTTCCGTGTTGTTGTTGTTGTTGTCCTTGTTGTTGTTGTTGTCCTGGCTGTGGTAGGTGTTGTGGTCTTCCGTGTTGTTGTTGTTGTTGTTGTCCTTGTGGTTGTTGTTGTCCTGACTGTGGTAGGCCTTGTGGTCCTCCGTGTTGTTGTTGTTGTTTTTCTTGTTGTTGTTGTTGTCCTGACTGTGGTAGGCGTTGTGGTCTTCCGTGTTGTTGTTGTTGTTGTTGTTGTTGTTGTGACTGTGGTAGGCGTTGTGGTCTTCCGTGTTGTTGTTGTTGTGGTGGTGGTGGTGGTGGTGGTTGTTGTCGTGACTGTGGTAGGTGTTGTGGTCGTCCGTGTTGTTGTTGTGGTGGTGGTGGTGGTGGTGGTGGTGGTGGTGGTGGTGGTGGTTGTCGTGACTGTGGTAGGTGTTGTGGTCTTCCGTGTTGTTGTTGTGGTGGTGGTGGTCTTCTGTGTTGTCCTTCTGGTTGTTGTTGGTGTTGTCATGACTGTGGTAGGCATTGTAGTTGTAGTTGCCCTCATTGTGACAGTGGTAGGCTTTGTGGTTGTTGTGGTAGTTGTTGGGACAGTTGTAGGCTCTGTAGGCTCATACTGTAGAGAGCACACATGCCAAAGATCAGGGGTTAACTTGGGTGACTTATTCCTGTGTACCCGATATGCACTTCCCACACTAGACTTCACAAGTCTCCTTCTCCTCAGGTTGCTTCATCTACAGGGACCAGAGTAGGGCTAGGAGATCATGGCTGGTACCCAGAGAGCCACTGTACAACCCTTAGCTAAATACCCTACCACTGGCCCTGCTCAGAGGCTCTCCCTAGAGCCCTGTCAATGAAGCCCAGTCTTCCAAAGAATGACAGCCCTGTCCTCACTACCTGCTTTGGCTGAGAGCACTAGGATTTTGTGAAGACCACAACAAACTACAATATACAGATGAGTAAGAGGGAGGCTGCAGGGCCCCTGAGAGTGAGGGTGCAAGAGCAGAGATAGGACACCCAACTCACCTTACCATAGCCTCTCTCCCCCATCTCCCAGCTTAGCAACCTCAGGCAAAGCTACTCCCTGTCTTAGAGCCTTGGTCTCATATCTGTGGTGAGGCAGTAAGTGGGTGCTTGAGCATGTGAGACAGAGGTTATAGTCCATTTTAGGTCAGGTCCACATGGGGGCTTAAGGAATGAGCTCTGTACTCTTGTTGTTCTTAACTAAGGGTACATGTGCTGCACACATGGGCCTGCACTGCCCAGCTCTTCTCCACTTCAGTGGCTCTGCTGGAGGGAAACAGAAGGGAAGGGGGCAGAGAGAGCCTGTGCCCAGGAAGCAGGGAGGCTGAAAGGAGAGGCCCAGTCAGGCTGAGGGTGACCCTGTGCTGGACCCAGAGCCACAGGCAGCTTCAGAGTTCTCTTCTCAATGCGCCTGTGGACAAGCAGCTGTCAGGTGGAAAGATTCTGGTGGGAAAAGTGGAGGTTCAGTCTCAGACTGACAGGAGGATATGCAGAGTGCAGGGGAGACAGACAAATGAGGAGTGTCACACTACAAGAACCCACACCAGCTGGGACTGGACACAGTGCAGTGGCATTAGGCAGAGACATCCCTCCTCACAGAGGAACCTCCAGGCTGACATGCTCTGTTGCCCAAGTCGGGCTGCCCAAGGTGAAGTGGCCTGGATGTTGTAGAGCTGGGAAAAGCAGCCTCTGAGAGCAGCACTTTGTTTCCAGTCTCCTCTTCCTGAGCTGAGCCCTGCCCTCCCCACAGTCCTGCAAACTCCCCAGGAACAGAGGGCAGAAGTCAGAGCCAGTTTGCAGAGAGGGACAATGGAGGAGCATGAGAAAGGAGGAAAGGCAGAAGGGAGGCTGATGACCTCTGCAAAGTGACCACCAGTGTTCCCCAAACAGTCTTGGGAGGCTAGGGCTGTGATGGTCATGAGGGAGTTCAGAGCCCTGCCTGCTGCTGCACCAATGCAGTGAAGACACACCCTGAGTGGACATGGCCACAGTTCTCCCACCCTCCAGATCCTTGTGCCTCGCACCTTGATTTGAGCCAAGGGGTCTCATAGCACCTAGTACACAGTATTCCACCCTCTCCAACTCACCTCAGCTGGAATCCAGGCTGGAGCCTTGAGCTCCACACAAGTCTTGGGTTAGGGGAAGTGGCATGGTGGGTTCAGGGCACGCAGAGCCTCTGTACTGTTTCTGGAGTCTGCTTAGAGCTGGAATTGGCCCCTTTGAAGGGCTTTCAATGACATGGTTCACAGAGAGAGCAGAGTATCTGCAAGGCCTGGACAGATGCCTACAACCTAGGTGCCCTTATAGAAGAGTTTGCAGTGAATTTTGCAGACCTGGTGAAGGGATAAGGGCACCTATCTGGCAGTGAGGTGCTGCCAGAGATGTCTGTCTCATTGGCTACTTGCTTGGCCTTTCTTGAAGAATTTTCTCCCCTCACCTCCTCTTCCCAGGATACGTTTCCATCTTCTGTTTCTTCTTCCCAAGCTGCAGTCCACTGAGGTTCCCGCAGTCCCACCCTGTCATTCACACAATCCTTGCTGACAATTTTCAAGTCTTCGCCTACAAAGCTGACACCATTGTTCAGGCTGTAATCAATGAAAAGCTCCCTAAAGCACAGAAAGGCAGAGGGTAACCACCAGATCAGAGACAGTTTTTTGGCTCAGTTCGTAGCCCACAGTTCTCACGGTAATGACTTTGAACATTAGCCAATCAGGGTTACTGGAGAGAAATCTGTAGGGTTAAGGGGAGTTTATCCCCAAGCACCATGAGATTGGCCTCTGCAATGAAGGTTATCAAACAATGAGGAGTCCTGAATGGGGTCAGATGTACTCCTGGCCATGAACTAAGTGACCAGGAATGGCTGTATTGTGTCACCATTCTGACTCCTCTGTATGTACAGAGTATGTTGGAGTCCCTTGGAAAAGCTTCCTGGAACAGAGTTACCATCCCTGGTTGCACATCTTCCAAATACTGCCCTCAGCAGAGCCTGAGTGGGTCTCTGAGCTCCTTGAGGGACCACCAACCAGGCCAGGTGCAGAGAGTGACCTGAGCTGTCCTGAGAAAGACATGTGTTGCCCAGCAGAGGTGACTTCCTACATTCTTGGCCCAAATGGCCTCCAAACCCTAAATACTTACTGTCCAGGCTTGTCAAATATATGTCCTGGGCAAATTAACTTTCCTTGATTCATAAAGATGGGCTTTTTATCTAAAAGAAAACCACATGAGAAGAAAGTCAGCGGACATGTTCACTCATCTGTCCTTCCCATTCTGTTTGCTGTTGGAAGCAGAGCTAACACTTGGACAGAAGCAACTTTTCTTCTCTTTCTTCTTCTGACATGTACCATGTACCAGGAACTATGTAGAACTCTGGTGTTTAGGTTTTATGTTTTCATTTATTTATTTAATTTAAGATCACTTGATATACAATATTTCCTAGGTTGCCAATGTACAATAATTTGAATCACAGTTTTTGAGGGTTGTACTCTGTATAGTTGTTATAAAGGGCCTTGATTTTTAATGGAAACAAAGCAGACAGAGGCCCTGCTCTCAACGGCTGGCATTTGTGGGACTGGAGAGAGAGAGAGAGGCAATAAAGTAAGAAACAATGAACAAAAAATGCCAGAGAGAAAAGTACTGTGATGCCAATAAACACGGGAAGATATAAGGGAGGGAGGGAAAGGCACATTTGCTTAGAGTAAGTGACCTGTCCTGTCTTTTAGAGATACAAGTTCTTTTTAGGAGAAACAGGACATGATGGGATATTTGGGATTTGCTTCTCAATAATGATTCAGATGACCATTGTATCTATTCCTGTGGAGTAGATACAAGAATTCCTCAGAAGAAATGGAGTAGCCCTCATTGTCAACAACAGTCTGAAATGCAGTTCAGACTTGGATGCAATCTCAAAAACAACAGAATGATCTTGGTTCATTTTTGAGGCAAACCATTCAAAATCATAGGAATCCAAGTCTATCCCCCAATCGCTAATGCCAAAGAAGCTGAAGTTGAATGGTTGTATGAAGACCTATAAGACCCTCTAGAACTAACACCAAAAAAAGAAAAAGATGTCCTTTTCATCATAGGGGCAATTGGGAAGTCAAGAGATACCTGGAGTAACAGGCAAGTTTGGTCTTGGAGTACAAAATGAAGCATAGCAAAGGCTAACAGAGTTTTGCCAGGAGAACACACTGGTCATAGCAAACACCCTCTTCCAACAACACTAGAGACTACTCTATAAATGGACATCACCAGATGGTCAGTACTGAAATCAGATTGATTATATTATTTGCATCCAAAGATGGAGAAGCTGTATGCAGTCAGTAAAAAAACAAAAACAAAAAAAACTGGAGCTGACTGTGGTTCATATCATGAGCTCTTCATTGCAAAATTCAGGCTTAAATTGAAGAAAGTAGGGAAAACCACTAGACCATTCAGGTATGACCTAAATCAAATTGCTTATGATTATACAGCAGAGGTGATGAATAGATTCAAGGGATTAGATCTGGTAGACAGAATGCCCAGAGAACTAAGGACAGAGGTTCATAACATGGTACAGGAGGTGGTGACCAAAAGCATCCTTAAGAAAAAGTAATGCAGAAGGCAAAGTGGCTGTCTGAGGAGGCCTTACAAATAGCTGAGAAAAGAAGAGAAGAGAAAATATACACCCATCTGAATGCAGAGTTCCAAAGAATAGCAAAGAGAGATAAAGAAAGCCTTCCTCAGTGATCAATGAGGAAGTGAAAAGAGGAAAACAACAGAATGGGAAAGACTAGAGATCTCTTCAAGGAAATTGGAGATACCAAAGGAATATTTCATGCAAAGATGGGTTCAATAATGGATAGAAATGGCAAGGACCTAACAGAAGCAGAGTAAGAAGAGGTGGCAAGAATACAGAGAAGAACTGTGCAAAAGAGATCTTAATGACCCAGATAACCATGAGGGTGTGGCCACTCACCTAGAGTCAGACATCTTGGAATGTGAATTCAAGTGGGCCTTAGGAAGCATTGCTGTGAACAAAGCTAATGGAGGTGATAGAAATCCACTGAGCTATTTAAAACCCTACAAGGTAATGCTGTTAAAATGCTGCACTCAATATGTCAGCAAATTTGGAAAACTCAGCAGTGGCCATAGGAATGAAAAAAGTCAGTTTTCACTCCAATACCAAAAAAAGGCAATGCCAATGAATGTTCAAACTACAGTACAATTGTACTCATTTCACATGCTAGCAAGGTAATGCTCAAAATCCTTCAATCTAGGCATCAGCAGTACGTGAACAGAGAACTTCCAGATGTACAAGCTGGATTTAGAAAAGGCAGAGGAATCAGAGATCAAATTGCCAACATCCATTGGATCATAGAAAAGTAAGGGAATTCCAGAAAAACATCTACTTCTGCTTCATTGACTATGCTAAAATCTTTGACTGCATCACAACAAACTGGAAAATTCTTAAAGAGATGGGAATACTAGATCATGTTACCTGTCTTCTGAGAAACTTGTATGCAGGTTAAGAAACAACAATTAGAATTGAACATGGAACAATGGACTGGTTCAAAATTGGAAAAGGAGTACATCAAGGCTGTATATTGCTACCCTGCTTATTTAATTATATGCAGAGTATATCATGACAAATATCAGGCTGTATGAATCACAGGCTGGAGCCAAGATTGCTAGGAGAAATATCAACAACCTCAGATATGCAGATGACACCACCCATATTGCAGAAACTGAAGAACTAAAGAGTCTCTTGATTAGGGTGAAAGAGGAGCATGAAAAATCTGGCTTAAAATTCAACATTCAAAAAACTAAGGTCATGGCACCCACTCTCATTGTTTTAAGGCAAATAGATGTAGGGAAAGTGGAAACAGTAACAGATTTTATTTTCTTGGCTCCAAAATCACTGCAGGCAGTGACTGTAGCCACAAAATTAAAAGATGCTTGCACCTTGGAAGAAAAACTGTGACAAACCTAGACAGCATAGTAAAAAGCAGAGACATCACTTTGCCAACAAAGTTGAGTATTGTGAAAGCTATGGCTTTTCCGTTATTCATGCATGGATGTGACAATTGGACGGCTGAGTGCCGAAAAACTGATCCCTTTGAACTGTGGTGCTGGAGAAGACTCTTGAGGGTCCCTCGGACTGCAAGGAGATCAAAGCAGTCAATCCTAAAGGAAATCAACCCTGAATATTCATTGGAAGGACTGAAGCTGAAACTGAAGCTCCAATACTTTGGCCACCTGATGTAAAGTGCTGCCTCATTGGAAAAGACCCTGATGCTTAGGAAAGATTAAGGGTAAAAGAAGAGGGCAAAAGAGAATGAGATGGTTGGATGGCATCACCANATGCTAAAGCCTTTGACAGTGTGAATCACAACAAATTGTGGAAAATTCTTAAAGAGATGGGAATACCAGACCACCTTTCCTGCCTCCTGAGAAATCTGTATGCAGGTCAAGAAGCAACAGTGAGAAATGGACACGGAACAACTGGTTCACAATTGGGAAAGGAGTACTTCAAGGCTGTATATTGTCACTTTGCTTATTTAACATATATGCAGAGTACATACTGTGAAATGCCAGGTTGGCTGAAGCACAAACTGGAATCAAGATTTCCAGGAGAAATATCAATAACCTCATATATGCAGATGACACCACTCTTAGAGCAGAAAGCAAAGAAGAACTAAAGATCCTCTTGATGAAAGTGGAAGAGGAGCATGAAAAAGCTGGCTTAAAACTCAACACTGAAAAAAATGAAGATCATGGCATCCAGTCCCATCACTTCATGGCAAATAGATAGGGAAACAGTGGATACATTGACAGACTTTATTTTCTTGGGCTCCAAAATCACTGCTTATTGACTGAAGCCATGAAATTAAAAGACACTTGCTGCTTGGAAGAGAAGCTATGACCAACCTAGATAGCATATTAAAAAGCAGAGACATTACTTTGCAAACAAAGGTCTGAATAGTCAAAGCTATGGTCTTTCCAGTAGCTATATATGGATGTGAGGGCTGGACCATAAAGAAAGCTGAGCACTGAAGAATTTATGCTTTTAATCTGTGGTGTTGGAGAAGACTCTTGAGAGTCCCTTGGACTGCAAAGAGATCAAACCAGTCAATCCAAAGGAAATCAAACCTGAATATTGATTGGAAGGACTTATTATAAAGCTGAAGCTCCAATACTTTGGTCACCTGATGTGAAGAAGTCTTTGGAAAAGACTCTGATGCTGGGAAAAATTGAAGGCAGGAGAAGCGGATGACAGACGATGAGATGGTTGGATGGCATCACTGACTTGATGGGCATGGATTTGAGCAAGCTCTGGGAGTTGGTGTTGGACAGGGAAGCCTGGCATGCTGCAGTCCATGAGGTTGCAAAGAGTTGAACTCGACTGAGCCCGAACTGAACTGTACTGATAATAATGGAAAGTAGATGAAGGCTTCTTCAAGGACTCTATAAAATTTGTGCTACTTTTTCGTGTTATTGAAAATTCCCATTAAAATGAAGTCTCTCCAAAGTGGGGTTCCTATTGAAACCAGATGAGGGGAAAGGCAGGGCCAGGTCTGGGGAAGAGGGTGTGAGCTGTGGGTGTCTAAACTGAGGCCTGAGACATACTAGCTGAGCTTGTTGATTGAAAGAGGTGAATTGGGGGGTGATGTCATGGGCCCTGGGAAGGGGTGTGGGCTTTATTCTAAGCACGGTGAACCTGTTGAAGGACTGGCTAGGTCCATGTGAGTTTGGGCACAGAGGCAGCAGGATCTGCAAATGGGCTGGATGTGGGATGAGAACAAAGAGGCGTCAAGAACAATGTGCAGGCTGTGAGCAAAGCATCTGGGTGGGTGTTGGTACCTTTTATGGACACTGGGAAGCCTGAAGGGGAACAGGGCCTCTGTGTTTGTGCTTGCTCTGTAGTTTTGTGGGAGCTGTGAGGTCGCCCTCAGAAGCCTCGGACAGTCCATAGCTAATAGCTATGGAGCCTTCTCTCTCCTGAGCCCTAATTCTCTTCACACTTCGACCGTAGTTACAGGTCAGGCACAGATTTTTCCCATCGATTGCTCACTTTCAGGTGACCAGCTTTTGGCCATGACTCTCAGATACCTATGTTCTCAGATACCTATGAAATTCTGAACTCTTTTCCCTTTCAATGGTGCTAATAGTGAGACTAATCACCAAGTATATTTACAGAGAAAGATTAGTGTCCTAGGGGTAGGAAGA